ACGGCGCGGGGGCCCCGGGGCGGGCCCCGCAGCCGCTTCCAGATCAGCTGGAAGCGCCGCGGGTTGGGCCGGGTCCTGCGCGGCTTTGCTCAGCGTCTCCCTGGTCTGCAGCACTGCAGCGTCTCCCTGATCTGGAAGCGGCCGCGGGTCCTGGCCCGGGTCCTCCGCCGCTTTGCTCCCCGTCTCCCTGGTCTGCTGGCTCCCCCAGCAGACCAGGGAGACGGGGAGCATCTTTTCTCGCCCCGGAGGAGGCGGGCGGCGGGACCAGGCGTCCCGCCGCTCCAGTCCTCCGGGGCAAGAAAATCCCCGTTCATAACTGCGGATCCGACGTAAGTCAGATCCACGTAACTCGGGGACTGCCTGTATGCACTGTAAGTAATGTCATTATAGAAGCTTAAAAATAATACTGGACTCTGCTTATTTGTTCTCTTTGTTTCTTCTGAAGGAAAAGCTGTGTGTGACATGGCATTTGTTTCCATGTTAAAAGTTAATGATGTCAGCACAGGTCCAGGAAAAGTATTTGTTAACTTAATCTTCTTTGCTGAGTGATTGACTGCCCCCTACCAGTACAACAATAATACTATAAAGTCACACATTGAGTATTTTGTTTTTCATTTCTTGGCAACAGAAGAACAATGGCTTTAAATATAAAATCAATAGATATTTAGAATCTTACGGATATTTCAAGTTGTTCCTTCCAGCTGTTGGAGAGACATAACAAGTAACCTATACAAAATGATGGACAGCCATGTATTTCAAGGCCAGAGGGGACTGTCGTGGTCAGATAGTCAGAACCCTTCTATAACACAGATTATAGAATTTCCAAAATAATTCTTGGAACCTATATTTAACAAAACATCCAATCCTAATTTTTTTTTTAAAAAAACTGCCCATTATAGAGAATCCACCAAGACATTTAGTAAATTTTTCCAATTTTTCTTTTTGGAACCCTCTCCAATTTATCAACATCATTCTTGAACTGTGAACATCAGAACTAGATCTAGGATTTCAGAAGCAGTCACACCAGTGTCCAGAGGTGAAAATAAGCAGGTGCACAGCTCTAGCAAGACCAGCAATAGCGACCAGTGAGCTATTTAAAGAGCTGGCAGGGACCCAGGTTGCAATAGTATCTGTAAGAAATGTTAAATTACTTTCACCACTGCCAGTATCAAATACAGATGTAAACTAACCTCTTTATTTCTGCTTGGGATTCCTCTGTTTATACATGCAAGGTCTGCATTATCCCTTTTCATCACAGAATCACACTGGGAGTTTTTGTTCATATGATTATCTAACATGACCCACAAATCTTTTTCAGAATCACTGCTTCTGAGGATGATTTCTTCCATCCTATAAGTATATATTCCTTTTTCCCCAGATGTATGCACTTACATTGGATATTTACATTAAAAAACATTGTTTGTTTGCTTCCAGCACACCAATCAATCTGGATTGCTCTTATCAGTGACCTCCCCTCTTCATTATTTGCCATTCCCCCAATTTTTCCATTACATGGAAACTTTATCCATGATGATTTTATAGTTTCTTCTAGGGATGTAAGCGAGTAGTCAAGTACTCGACCACCCGACAAACCTAAGCTTTTCGGGTACTTGAGTACTTGACCACACGCTTTCCTCCCCCCTTGCTGCCTCTGTATGAGAGGCAGCACATGGTGGGAAACAGGAGCCAATGCTGGGGGGAGCTGACTTAAAAGGCAGTTCCCCCCAGCACCATATCCATGGTGCTGCCTGCCCTCCCCCTATAAGAGACAGAAGAGGGAGGGGGGGAGCGGATACTGCCAGGAATCAGCCTTTGCCTACGGTGGGCAGAGGCTGCTTTGGCAGCAGTCCTGTCTGTAGGGGTCCATCAGGGAGGTGGGCCTTGTTCTCCTCCCTTTGCCTGCGGACAGAGGCTGCTGCTGTGAGGTAGTCCCTGTCTGCAACAGCCTGGGCTGGCCATGGGCAAAGGCTGCATCAGCAGTAGCTCCTGTCTGCTTTGGCCAGCTCAGGACACCACAAACGGGCTGCTGGACCCGAGGTCTTTCCACATTTAAAATCCAGAGGCGCAGTGGTCCCAGACCGGCGCGGCTCCAGGAGCCACACACGCTACACCTCTGGATTTTAAATGGAGTAAGAGCCCAGCGGCTCTTAATACATTTAAAATGTAGAGCAGCAGTGGTCCGTAGCTGTTGTGAGCTGGGACTGCTCAGTCCTGGCTCACACCAGCTCTGGGAGGTACGCCCGCTGCAGCTGTTGACTAATCATATAGTCGATACAAATTGTATAAACTATATGATTAGCCAGATAATCACTCTTTAACATCCTTAGTTTCTTCCAGGTCATTGATAAAAAGGTTAAATAGTGTAGGGCCAAGAACCAATTCTATAGGATACTGCTTGGTGATGATTAACTGTTTACAGTTACAGTTATATTTTGAGACTTGTCAGTAAACCAACTTTTAATCCATTTGTGATGGGGCATCTGCCCCACACTGGCCCTTTAAAGATTAAAACAACCCTGGGAGAGGGCTGGTGCAGTGGAGCTGGGGAGCCAGCAGCTGTGACCAGTATGAGCCAATTAAAGCCCACCTGAGGGCTGTATAAATAAAGGCTCCTGGAGGGGTGGAAAGAGACTTACTTGCTCTAGCTAGGGAGCAGGAAGGATTTGGCTGCCAGGTAAGGGAGGTTTCCCAAGACAGAGCAGTACTGGGGAAAGGCGGGGAGGGCTGGGGAGCTCTGGCTTGACTTTACAAGGGCTGCAGGGAGGCAGCCAGGGAAGGCAAAGGCGGTAGGTCCATACCCCCTTACCAGCCAGAAGGGAGGCACTCCAGCATCAGCAGGAGGCACCTGCGTGGTGAATCTGCCCTGTGACGCCATTTAATGTGTGCCATATTCATTTTGTTTCCTAAACTGTTTTAATCAAAATGTCATGTGGTCCCAAGCCAAGATCCTTACAGAAATGTGTTACATTAACACTATTATCTGTGTTAACCAAACTTGTAATCTCTTAAAAAACATATGAAGCTAAGGTTATGAAAGAAGATCCTCTCAAACCACATTGATTGTCATTATTTACATTACTCTCCTTGAATTCTTTATTAATCAATTTCTACTTTATTGTAGTCACAGTGGACTAGTACTGTCACAGTTGGTGGTATCAGCAACAACTGTGCCTCACAGGTGTGTCTGAGGCACAGTGCCTAAAGAAGCCCCTGGGGTGTTGAAGCCCTTGAGGGGCTCTGCCTCCCGATACAATCTAGCTATGAATGAAAACAGAGTTTTAGTCTTTTGGTTTAAGTTCCAAATCTTTCAATAACACCAACACTTTTAAAAAAAATGGAGAACCCTAAAGTAGATTGAAATCTGACAATTGACGTATTAGGGAGTGAATTCTTAAGCAGTTGGTTCAATAGGAGATGCATGGAGAACTGACAAGTATAATTGTACGTCATCTATTTTTCTTTTTATATGTGATACCTTGGTGCCTCTGAACTGAATGTTTTAACTCACATCACAGTATTTCAAATATTGCTGTCCTTGTTTTATACCTCTTTGATACGCTGGTTGTAGGGCCGCTGTGCCTGGGTTAACCCGTCTCAAAAGTCAGAGGAGGAAGAAGAAGAAGGCGAGGAAGAGGAAAAAACAGAAGAGCCAGATGAGCCACAGCCAGAAGTGGGCCCCCCTCTTCTGACTCCACTCTCTGAAGATGCAGGTACCGGCAATTCAGACTTCTTCGAATCCTTTATTTATTTAACAGTGAATATCCACATGGAGCTTTTAACAGCTGTCTAATAAACATGTAGGCTACGTCTACATTGGTGTGATCTTGCGCAAAAACGGCCACTCTTGCGCAAAAACTTGTTGCCTGTCTACACTGGCCGCAAGTTCTTGTGCAAGTACACTGACGTCCTAATGTATGAAATCAGGGCTTCTTACACAAGAACTCTGATGCTCCTGCTCAGGAATAAGCCCTTTTGTGCAACTGTTCTTGCACAAGAGGCCAGTGTAGACAGGCAGCCAAGAGATTTTGTGCAAGAGCCATCCACAAAGAAAAAAGCCCTAGGGGCTGCTTGGACGCTCTGTACGTGCAGGCACTGCTCCGGACTTCCTGGTAACCCGAGGCCCCTTAAAGGCACACTCAGCATGCAGAGGCCACGTGGCAGAAGCACCTCTGCCACCAAGCTCTGCTGTGTGGCTCTGCTGAATCAAAAGCCACCAGACCACCCAGGATGGCTGCTCCAGGGGGGGAGCAATAACCTGCACCCCCAGCTCAGGAGGCCCCAAGGGGCACAAAGCGGCGTGCCCGTTTCTGGTCCCCAGGGGTGATCGAGGCCCTGCTGGACCCTCCACAACGTCCGTGCCTGTCACAGGAATGAGGACATCTTCCGCCGCATGGCCCATGAGCTCTCCAACCAGGGCCATCCAGCCCGGACCCTCGAACAGGTCTGGGCTAAACTCAAGGAGCTGCGCCTGGGCTATGTCCGGGACAGGAGCTGACAGCTGCCCCCGTTACCAGCAGCTCCATGGCATCCCAGGCGAGGCAGCACCCCAGGGACCCTCGGGTCTAGTTGACACCAGTAGGTGTGTCCCCCCGTCACCAGGCCCAGCGAGGCGGGGGACGATTCAGAGCTTCCCACTGGGTCAGAGGACGATGAGGAGGACCAGGGCAGCACTGTGACCCTGCAACTCAAAGTCCGTTCAGGTGGGCTAAACTCAAGGAGCTGCGCCTGGGCTATGTCCGGGACAGGAGCTGACAGCTGCCCCCGTTACCAGCAGCTCCATGGCATCCCAGGCGAGGCAGCACCCCAGGGACCCTCGGGTCTAGTTGACACCAGTAGGTGTGTCCCCCCGTCACCAGGCCCAGCGAGGCGGGGGACGATTCAGAGCTTCCCACTGGGTCAGAGGACGATGAGGAGGACCAGGGCAGCACTGTGACCCTGCAACTCAAAGTCCGTTCAGGCAGCTCGGACGTCTCCCACGCGTCATTGGAGGCCTGAGAAGGATCCACTGCTGAGTGTTGCACTTTGCATTCACAAGGGCGGGGGGAGCCAGGCACCTGGGGGGAAGGGAGAGAGCGCGTCACTCAGGCAGCATGAGTTGCACGCTGTGTACCATACCAGTATGCAGCACGTGCAGCCTGGTGACCGAGCAGCATGTGGCCACGGCAGGCAGCAACAGGGCACGCCTGGGACCATGCTGCTCACACACATCTGGACCAGGGGGGAAGGATGGATGCCGGCTGGAACCAGCCAGGGCTCCACCAGGGCCCCAGGGGCTCATACCAGAGCCCACACCTCCCAAAGGGTGCAGCACACAGACAGCACACTGTTCATGCCTGGCTGTGCGACACAGCCAGCTGCTCCTAGGAAAACTGCAGCAACACAGCCCTATGGGCATGGCCCTAACTGAGCCTCTCGCCTGCTCCTGGTGCCTTGACTGGCCTCCCGAGTGAAGTCCCCACTGCAGCCACACATGTCATAGAATCATAGAATAATAGGACTGGAAGGGACCTCAAGAGGTCATCGAGTCCAGCCCCCCGTCCTCCTTGTGACACCCTTTTAGATATTTGAAAACTGCTATCATGTCCCCCCTTAATCTTCTTTTTTCCAAACTAAACAAGCCCAGTTCATGTCCCTGGGGTACGTATGTGAGGGCTAGCAGGAGGGGGAGGGGGAAAGCACTCGGGCCGGCCCTAGAGCCACCTGAGTTTCACCACAAGGATGATACACTCCCCAGTCATCCCTGGTTCCGTCCAGGAGACATCCACATGATGGGGATCTGAGAGCCCATACCACGTCTGCCATATGTGCTCCCAGGCTCTGTGTGGTGATTCATCTTGCTCCCTGTCAAACACCATTGATTAGCCCAAAGCCTTACAGCCTCCCCCAGCAGGGAGTTCCACAGGTTAACACCGCCCACCCACACTCACCCACCCCCTGAGGGGCCAGCACACAGACCGCTGGTTACAATACATGGAGGAGCACCTTACTCCAGGGGAAGTCCTTTATGCAAACATACAACACGCGGGGAATGAGTGGGCCCAAGCCACAGTACTGTGGTGTCACCTGGGCTTAAAAAACATATGAAGCTAAGGTTATGAAAGAAGATCCTCTCAAACCACATTGATTGTCATTATTTACATTACTCTCCTTGAATTCTTTATTAATCAATTTCTACTTTATTGTAGTCACAGTGGACTAGTACTGTCACAGTTGGTGGTATCAGCAACAACTGTGCCTCACAGGTGTGTCTGAGGCACAGTGCCTAAAGAAGCCCCTGGGGTGTTGAAGCCCTTGAGGGGCTCTGCCTCCCGATACAATCTAGCTATGAATGAAAACAGAGTTTTAGTCTTTTGGTTTAAGTTCCAAATCTTTCAATAACACCAACACTTTTAAAAAAAATGGAGAACCCTAAAGTAGATTGAAATCTGACAATTGACGTATTAGGGAGTGAATTCTTAAGCAGTTGGTTCAATAGGAGATGCATGGAGAACTGACAAGTATAATTGTACGTCATCTATTTTTCTTTTTATATGTGATACCTTGGTGCCTCTGAACTGAATGTTTTAACTCACATCACAGTATTTCAAATATTGCTGTCCTTGTTTTATACCTCTTTGATACGCTGGTTGTAGGGCCGCTGTGCCTGGGTTAACCCGTCTCAAAAGTCAGAGGAGGAAGAAGAAGAAGGCGAGGAAGAGGAAAAAACAGAAGAGCCAGATGAGCCACAGCCAGAAGTGGGCCCCCCTCTTCTGACTCCACTCTCTGAAGATGCAGGTACCGGCAATTCAGACTTCTTCGAATCCTTTATTTATTTAACAGTGAATATCCACATGGAGCTTTTAACAGCTGTCTAATAAACATGTAGGCTACGTCTACATTGGTGTGATCTTGCGCAAAAACGGCCACTCTTGCGCAAAAACTTGTTGCCTGTCTACACTGGCCGCAAGTTCTTGTGCAAGTACACTGACGTCCTAATGTATGAAATCAGGGCTTCTTACACAAGAACTCTGATGCTCCTGCTCAGGAATAAGCCCTTTTGTGCAACTGTTCTTGCACAAGAGGCCAGTGTAGACAGGCAGCCAAGAGATTTTGTGCAAGAGCCATCCACAAAGAAAAAAGCCCTAGGGGCTGCTTGGACGCTCTGTACGTGCAGGCACTGCTCCGGACTTCCTGGTAACCCGAGGCCCCTTAAAGGCACACTCAGCATGCAGAGGCCACGTGGCAGAAGCACCTCTGCCACCAAGCTCTGCTGTGTGGCTCTGCTGAATCAAAAGCCACCAGACCACCCAGGATGGCTGCTCCAGGGGGGGAGCAATAACCTGCACCCCCAGCTCAGGAGGCCCCAAGGGGCACAAAGCGGCGTGCCCGTTTCTGGTCCCCAGGGGTGATCGAGGCCCTGCTGGACCCTCCACAACGTCCGTGCCTGTCACAGGAATGAGGACATCTTCCGCCGCATGGCCCATGAGCTCTCCAACCAGGGCCATCCAGCCCGGACCCTCGAACAGGTCTGGGCTAAACTCAAGGAGCTGCGCCTGGGCTATGTCCGGGACAGGAGCTGACAGCTGCCCCCGTTACCAGCAGCTCCATGGCATCCCAGGCGAGGCAGCACCCCAGGGACCCTCGGGTCTAGTTGACACCAGTAGGTGTGTCCCCCCGTCACCAGGCCCAGCGAGGCGGGGGACGATTCAGAGCTTCCCACTGGGTCAGAGGACGATGAGGAGGACCAGGGCAGCACTGTGACCCTGCAACTCAAAGTCCGTTCAGGCAGCTCGGACGTCTCCCACGCGTCATTGGAGGCCTGAGAAGGATCCACTGCTGAGTGTTGCACTTTGCATTCACAAGGGCGGGGGGAGCCAGGCACCTGGGGGGAAGGGAGAGAGCGCGTCACTCAGGCAGCATGAGTTGCACGCTGTGTACCATACCAGTATGCAGCACGTGCAGCCTGGTGACCGAGCAGCATGTGGCCACGGCAGGCAGCAACAGGGCACGCCTGGGACCATGCTGCTCACACACATCTGGACCAGGGGGGAAGGATGGATGCCGGCTGGAACCAGCCAGGGCTCCACCAGGGCCCCAGGGGCTCATACCAGAGCCCACACCTCCCAAAGGGTGCAGCACACAGACAGCACACTGTTCATGCCTGGCTGTGCGACACAGCCAGCTGCTCCTAGGAAAACTGCAGCAACACAGCCCTATGGGCATGGCCCTAACTGAGCCTCTCGCCTGCTCCTGGTGCCTTGACTGGCCTCCCGAGTGAAGTCCCCACTGCAGCCACACATGTCATAGAATCATAGAATAATAGGACTGGAAACAGGGCACGCCTGGGACCATGCTGCTCACACACATCTGGACCAGGGGGGAAGGATGGATGCCGGCTGGAACCAGCCAGGGCTCCACCAGGGCCCCAGGGGCTCATACCAGAGCCCACACCTCCCAAAGGGTGCAGCACACAGACAGCACACTGTTCATGCCTGGCTGTGCGACACAGCCAGCTGCTCCTAGGAAAACTGCAGCAACACAGCCCTATGGGCATGGCCCTAACTGAGCCTCTCGCCTGCTCCTGGTGCCTTGACTGGCCTCCCGAGTGAAGTCCCCACTGCAGCCACACATGTCATAGAATCATAGAATAATAGGACTGGAAGGGACCTCAAGAGGTCATCGAGTCCAGCCCCCCGTCCTCCTTGTGACACCCTTTTAGATATTTGAAAACTGCTATCATGTCCCCCCTTAATCTTCTTTTTTCCAAACTAAACAAGCCCAGTTCATGTCCCTGGGGTACGTATGTGAGGGCTAGCAGGAGGGGGAGGGGGAAAGCACTCGGGCCGGCCCTAGAGCCACCTGAGTTTCACCACAAGGATGATACACTCCCCAGTCATCCCTGGTTCCGTCCAGGAGACATCCACATGATGGGTCCCGAGTGAAGTCCCCACTGCAGCCACACATGTCATAGAATCATAGAATAATAGGACTGGAAGGGACCTCAAGAGGCCATCGAATCCAGCCCCCCGTCCTAGATATTTGAAAACTGCTATCATGTCCCCCCTTAATCTTCTTTTTTCCAAACTAAACAAGCCCAGTTCATGTCCCTGGGGTACGTATGTGAGGGCTAGCAGGAGGGGGAGGGGGAAAGCACTCGGGCCGGCCCTAGAGCCACCTGAGTTTCACCACAAGGATGATACACTCCCCAGTCATCCCTGGTTCCGTCCAGGAGACATCCACATGATGGGGATCTGAGAGCCCATACCACGTCTGCCATATGTGCTCCCAGGCTCTGTGTGGTGATTCATCTTGCTCCCTGTCAAACACCATTGATTAGCCCACAGCCTCCACCAGCAGGGAGTTCTACAGGTAAACACAACACACACGCATGCGCTCGCGTAGGGCCACATCAACCAGGGCAGCAGGGGGTAGGCCACGTCCCCCACAACAGATCTGGG